CTAGAACCTATGAAAAGCATCTTGTTGTTTAGTTTTAATGATTTGCCATACCGATTGAAGCAATGCTTTCTATATTGTTCCCTTTTCCCTGAAGATCATGTGATCGTAAATAATAGGCTCATCTCATTGTGGATCGCTGAAGGATTTGTTGAACATGTCGAAGGGCTCACGCCAGAAAAAGTTGCAAATGGCTATCTTATGGAACTCATTTTTCGTAACATGCTACAGCAAAGGTTTCGAGGACCCCTCCCAGCATGTAAGATGCATGATCTTTTGAGGGAGATTGCTCTGTCAATAGCAAAACAAGAAAAGTTTTGCGCTGTACATGACGGCGGGAGTGAAACAACAGAAGAAACTGGGGCACTTCGTTTGTCAATTCAAACAACTAATGGAGAAATTGGATCATGCACAGGTATATCACGGCTTCGTTCGTTTCTCGTCTTTGCCACTGCCGTATCCTCATTCTCTTTCCCAAATAAATTACCTTTTGACCTTAAATTGTTGACGGTTCTAGATTTGGAGGATGTCCCAATTGATAATTTGCCAGACAATCTAACGTCCTTATTTAATTTAAAATTTTTAAATTTGAGTAGAACTCCAATTAGGGAGCTTCCAGAATCCATTGGAAAGCTCCGCAACCTTCAGACCTTGAACATCACGCTGACAAAAATAGTTGCACTTCCAAGAGGGATTTCCAAGTTGATAAACTTGCGCCATTTACTTGTGGGCAGGTTCATTTTCGGAAATTTTATTGGGGTAAGAATACCATCAAGTATTAGTAAGATGAAGAAATTGCAATCTTTGGCATATATTGAATCAGAAGGAAATAGTATTAGACTTGTTGGAAAGATGACCCAGCTTAAGAACGTTGGCATTACAAATGTGAAAGAAAGAGACGCGGAGGACCTATGTGCCTCAATTCAAGAGATGAAGGTGCTTTCCTCCTTGGGTTTAATTGTAGCAGAGGGAGAGGAATTTCTTCGAGTTGACGCATTGTCTTCACCGCCTCCCTACCTTGATATACTTGACTTGGTCGGCAAACTGGAAAAGGTACCACATTGGTTTTGTTCTCTCCAGTCTCTCACAAAATTGAATCTGCATGGGTCCAGACTTGAAGAAGATTTACTACCTCATATTGAAGCGTTACCCTCTTTACATTTTCTTTTCCTTGATGATGCCTCTGTTAGGAAAGAGTTATGTTTCAGCAGAGGCTTTGTGAAGCTTCGATTTTTGCGGTTGGGGAATCTCGCATTATTAAATAAGATAACTATAGAAAAAGGGGCGATGCCAAATCTCAAGGTCTTATACATTCATAGTTGCATGATGTTAGAAACATTGCCACAGGGTGTTGAGCACCTTACTGAACTACAACAATACAGATTTGATAATGTTTCAGAGAAGTTTAGAGAGTCCATAAAAGAAGGAGGTGTGGATCATCCAAGGATGCTACTCGTCGACGAGAGATGTAAGAAATATACGTAAGTATCTTTTATCCTTTCATTGACTTTCCTAAACTTAATCATTTGGAATATTACACTTGTGTTCAAGAAATTGTTCTCGTTCGCATCTCTGTTAATGGATGTAAAGCCATATAAATTGTTTGTTAATTACAATATTGCTTTTGTCTTTTTATATATTTTGCAGAAACAAGTCCAGGTATGTCGATGTTGAGAATTCACAGTGTCCCACACAATCTGGGATTAGTTAGGAAATTATTTCATTGTTGTAATTTGTAATTGATTCTGTACTCTTAGCTAAAGATAGATGATAATTTTCTTCTGATGCCTATGCTTACTTTTATAAACTTTTTCATTTGTATGATTCAAACTCTAAAGAGGGGGGATTAAAATGAATATCTACAAGCTCTAATATGAGGTTATATAATTTTTCTTCACAAGTGGAATGCATTCACAAACCTTTAAGAAGCTCACACAAAGCATGGTTTGATTGGCAGATTGAAAAGCTTCACAAGTGGAGATGGCGCTCACGTCTCAGATATCCTCGGATGTATATAATTTAGAATTATGGTGGAGGTATGGGTGCAAAGGAAGTCTGGGACCATTTGTTAGATAGGGATTGTGTATAACTTTTGGTCCTACATTTTCTGTAGGATTTTTACTGATAGCTGAGGGTGTTCTGTTGTAAGATTGTACTGTTTTGATGGATAATATTTTTTATCTGTTTCTTATTCAGGAGTAGTAGTTCATGATTTTTGACATGTTCGTTTGTTAAAACTTTGAAGGGTTTTGAAGATAAGCAAACAATTTATTTCTATTTTCACTGAAATTATCTGTTTGGTGATTGATTGTTGACTGATACAAGTGTATTTTTGGGTCAGCTCATTTTTGGCTTTGAGTTTAGACCCGACCCGACCCGAGAACCGATGCTTTACTCAGTTTGGCCCAAGGGTCGCATAAAATTAGACCCGACTCAAACCGTGCCCAGGCCTATATTCTGTAATAAAAACCTAGTCTTTTATTAATGACAATTATGAAATGAACAAGTTCTATCCATCTCTCCTTCGATCCTAGGATATGTTTGTATTGCTTGTGAATCCCACATAGTTGAATAGAACTTCTTTAACCATTTGTCATTGATTGGCACAGCATGGGCTTCTCCATCTTGATCTTGTAACATGTATGCCCCTAATCCAAGGACTTGTTTGATTACAAAAGGGCCTTCTCAAGTGGGTGACCATTTTCCATAACCAGCCACGTGGGCACCAATAGGCAGAACTGCTCTCCAGATAATCTCTCCCTCTTCAAAGCTCTTGTTTTTAATTCTTTTATTATAAGCTTTTTCCACAACTTCTTTTCATGCTAAGAGTTTGTTGAGGGTATCAATTCTGCTTGTATTCAATCCTTCCAATTCTAGTAGTATTGCTTGTGAATAGCCTTCACGAACTAAGTTATGCTACTGGGCAATTCTGATGGACTGGATTGTGGTTTCCATGTGCAGAATCGCATCATGTCCATAGGTTAGAGCATGTGGGGTCATGCCAATTGCCTCTCTATTTGACGTTCTATAGGCTCATAAGGTTCCCGACAATTTTTCATGCCATTGCCTTCGATTTTCCTCAAGCATTTTTCTGATGATATTAATGACCACCTTGTTGCTTGATTTTGCCTGTCCATTTGCTTGACCATAGTAAGGAGTGGAATGGAGTAACCTGATCTTGAGCCTACTTGCCATATCTTGCATCTCTCTGGATATGAAAAAAGTCCCTCTATCAGTTGTGATTGATTCTGGTATGCCAAACTTACGTACAATCTGTTCTTCAGTGAAAGTGATGATCTCTTGAGATGTGGTGGATTTAACCAATTTAGCCTCCACTCATTTAGTGAAGTAATCTATAGCCACAATGATGAAATAGTGGTGTTTGCTACTGGCTAGATAGATTTTGCCAATGAGGTTCATTCCCCATCCCCTGAATGGCCATGACTTAATGACTGGATTCATTGAGACTGAGGGAGCTTGTTAGATTGGTCCATGTCTTTGGCAATATTCTATGCAGTCCTTCATCATGGTAGGCCAGAAATAACCTTACCTTCTAATCAGGTAGCACATTTTCCTTCCACCTTGATGTGCTCCACAGATTCCTTCATGAACTTCTCCTATGACTTTCATATATTCTTCCTTTCCCAAGCATCTCAAGAGTAGTCCATCTTTGATCTTTCGAACCAAATCTTCATTCCACATGAGGTAATTTAAAGCCATGATTCTTATCTTTTTCTAGGAAGGGAGGGTTGGATATTGCAAATAATTGATTTTAGGTAATCTCCAATCCTCCTCAGTCATTATGGTAGAATTGACATCTATCTCCATTCCCCTGACCAGAACAGATGGTAGACTCTTTTTCCCCATTTTGATGATTCTCTATACACAATCTTCATGTATTTGCACTTCTGTTGCAATATGAGCCATTTCATTGGCTGCCAAATTATATTCCCTTGGAATATGTTCCCAAATGGCTTCCCTAAATTCTGCCAGGAGATTTTTGGCTGCCACCAAATAAACAGCTAAGGAAGGATTCAAACACTTGTATTCTCTAGCAATCTGCTTTAGAACAAGCATGAAATCTCCCAGGATTTCTGATGAGTCGATTTTATATTATATATTTAACCCTATTCTTAGTATATTTTGGTTAATATTTTGGAACAATTTTGATACTTTGAATTGTATTTTCAATATAGGGCTTTTGACTTCTTATGGAGCAAAACATAATCAAATGGACGAATTTTGGAGCAATTCCAGTTGGAGGACTTTCGTGAGTCACTTAGCTTGATCGTATCTAAATTTCAGAGTTTTCTCCCAAGTGGTTATTTTCTGGCAATAAAATAAAAAAGCAGTGCGCTGTGCTGGAATAGTGACATTTTGGGCTTTTATTACGTTTTTGGAGCCCAAGATGACTTCGAATGGGTTCATGGCCTTCTGGAGAAGTGTTTAAAATATTTTTATCTTTAAAAGAAGCTATCTTGGGCCAGATTTGGAGGAGATTTGAGGTCAAAAAGTGGCTGGGCAGATTGTGGGCAGATTCTCCTAATCCAATTTGGAATTTATTTCCTAGTATTATTTTATTTCAACTTAGTTTCCTTGTGGGGATTGGGCAGCTAGGTTTTAGGAAGTATTTAAGCTCCTTCTTAGAGCAATTTTAGGACTTTGGCTCTTGAAAGTGGAGAGCAATTGCTAGGGTTTTGGAGTGTTTGCGACTTTTAGGTGTTTTCATTCTTATTCATTCTTAATGATATTTTCTTGGATTTCAATTATGAATATCCATAATTAATTCAATTGCTAGGGTGAGGCCATAAGCCTTAGCATGAATATGTAATTTTATTGATTTGCTAATGAATGGATGCATGTTTGCTTTGAATTATTAATCACTGCGTTTAAAACTATCTATCTATTTTAATGACTGATCACCATTAGGATATGTAGACAAGTAATTTGATGCAATTTATGTTGGAACATCACCCTGAAATTGAGGAGGGCTTCTTGTGATTAGTAATTGTAAGTTCACTTAAGGCGAACATCACGCTCTTAAGGGTTGCATGGTTTTTCAAAGGGTTTTCACAAAGCTTAATGAGTCTTGCATGTTTATATTTGATCTGAACATCACAGACGGATTGCATGTTAGATATACGTTTTCGCTTGAACATCACAAGGAAAATATGCATTAGGAAAACCTAACCTTCAAAGCATATATGTGGAAATTCATAAGTAATTGATAGAATTGCATAGGATTGTGATGGTGATGGCTAAACCCTAGTTTTCTCTAAATTGTTAGTTTTTAAAAAGAAAACGTTTTTCTCCTTTGCTGTAATTATTTCCCAACCTTCATATTTCTTTTACTGTTAATTTAATCTTTTCAAATTCATAAACTTCAAATCTTTGATAAAATTTATTTTAGTTATTAATTAAGAGTTAGTTTAATTAAAAATTAGTCAAACAATCTTTGGGGACAACAACCTTGCACGAGCACTTATATTACAATTACCTTGTATTCTTGCAAGTATTTTCAGTGATTTTTACCCTATTGTGCAGGTTCTAAAAAAATCCTATCAATTTCCATAGATTGGATTCCTATCTCAAGACCAACGATCAAAGCTTCGTACTCTGCTCTGTTGTTGGTGCACTGGAAATCTAGCTGGGATCAATAACAGTATCTGATTCCTAATGGATCATCTAAAACAATTCATGCTCCAGAAGCCAGGTCGATTTTAGATCCATCAAAATACAAATTCCAAGGGGTGAGATGGACTGAGTATATAGGATTATTAAGACAGATGTGAGCTCTACTCAGCAGATTTGCATTGGCTATATCCATGGAATCCATGTTCTCAATCTCTTCCCCTGGATGATCTGCCAAGAAGTCTGCAACAGCCTGTCATTTGATAGCCTTTTGAGGAACATATATGAAGGAAAATTCTGATAAGGCCAGAGTCCATTTACCAATTCTGCCTCTCAATATTGGCCTCGTTAGCATGTACTTGATCAAATCTATTTTAGCAATGATGTAGATGGTAAAGGGTAGCATGTAATGTCTGAGCTTTATAGCAGTGAACTACAAAGCCAAACATGACCTTTCAATCACAGAATACTTTCTTTTCACTTCTGTCAAAGTTCTACTTAGGCAGTAGACTGCCTGTTCCTTCCATTCATTGTTATCTTGAACCAAAAGGCTCCCAATAAATACCTCTGATGTAGAGACATATAATTTAAGTGGTCTACCACTTTTTGGTGGAGACAAAACTAGTGGACTAGAGAGGTAATGCTTGATTTCCTCGAAAGACCGCTGGTGCTGTTCTTCCCATCTAAATGCTTATTCTTGTTTCAACTTTAGCAAGGAGGAGAAAAGTTGGATTTTCCGGGCAGAATTGGATATGAATCTTCTGAGAAAGTTGATCTTCCCTAAGAGACTTTGCAATTCTTTCTTGTTCCGAGGTGGCAAAGCTTCTATGACAGATTTTGCTTTGTTCTTGTCAATACCTCTTTGGTGGATTAAGAACCCTAAGAAATTGCCAGTTTGAACCCCAAACACGCATTTTTTGGGATTCATCTTCAACTTGTGTTGTCTCATTCTTAGAAAAGCTTCTTTTAAATTAGATACATGATTTCCCTTTTTTGGCGACTTAATCACCATGTCATCTATGTACATCTTTAGGGAATGGCCTATATGAAGTTCATTGCTCTTTGATAGGTAGCCCTTGCATTTCTCAAACCAAAAGGCATCACAACATATTCAAAGGCACATATGTATCCCAGACACATGAAAGCATTTTTGTGAATGTCTTCTTCTGCCACCATTATCTGATTATAACCAGCGTTGCCATCCATGAATGATATCATTTGGTTATAAGCTGCTCCGTCCACCAACACATCTACCATTGGCATGAGGTACTCATCTTGAGGAAATGCCTTATTCAAATTCTTGTAGTCCACTCAAACTGTATTTCTCCTGTCTTTCTTTTAAGAACTGGTGCAATGTTGGACAACCAATCAGCATAAATGGCTGGCCTAATAAAACCTGCTTTAACTAGTCTTTCTATTTCCTCTTTGACCTTCTGTCTCCATGGACATCCTTCTTCTGTCCTGCTTGACTGATAGGTATCTTTCTTTTATTGGCAGTTTGTGCTATACCAATCCTCTATCCAGTCTAGGCATTTCATGATAATGCCATACGAAACAGTCTTTGAAATCATGCAGAAGTGC